AAAAAAATAAAAAAACTCAAAAAAAAAAGGGAAAAAAAAAAAAAAAAAATCAATCTGCAAATCCGTTGTCTAGTTTTAACTGGGGCTGCTAGAGAATCTGGTGCCGACCAGTGTAAGAGATGCTGGTACAAAACAAAAAAGTCGCAGTGGGCCTCCAAGAGCCAAGTGATAGCTATGCTTTTTTTTAATATTATTAAATATTAATGTGGCTTTTTATTTTAAGTATTTTGGGGGGTTAATTACTTTAATAATAAATGAATTAGTTTAAAAGAAAAAAAACAACAGCTCATTCCTTATAAAAAAAAAGGTTTTCCATCACAAAAAAGGACTGCTAGCATCATTTTACACACTGAACGCAATTTAAAGGACAACAAACAACAACAACAAAACAACAACAACAATTAAAATAATTACCTGTATGACTTACGCTTTCTAAATATTTCCAAGTTTGGAAGGAATAAAATAGAAAAAAAAAGAGTTTGTAGAATAGTCTACGTACTTTTATGATTTTCCAAAACATATCATTTTTATAGATCGTTTCTGAATGACATAATTATGTTAAGAAGGCAGGAGATGTTTAAAAAAAAATATATATATTTACCAATGTGTGATTTTATCGGAGGGAAATCGTATACAAATAAGTATACAAATAAGTATACAAATAAGTATACATTTCCCTATATACATTTCCCTATATACATTTCCCTATATACATTTCCCTATATACATTTCCCTATATACATTTCCCTATATACATTTCCCTATATACATTTCCCTATATACATTTCCCTATGTACATTTCCCTATATACATTTCCCTATATACATTTCCTTATATACATTTCCCTATATACATTTTCCTATATACATTTCCCTATATACATTTCCCTATATACATTTCCCTATATACATTTCCCTATATACATTTCCCTATATACATTTCCCTATATACATTTCCCTAATATGTAAAGGGATATATGTAAAGGGATATATGTAAAGGCTATATACATTTCCCTATATACATTTCCCTATATACATTTCCCTATATACATTTCCCTATATACATTTCCCTATATACATTTCCCTATATTCAATTGATGGAAATGTTTATTCGGAATTCGATACTACTGTAACTTTCTTCAGATAAATTACAAATTTCCTCTTCGATATACTTTAACAAATTTGTATTGCATTACACATTTTTCTCAAGGGCACTGCCCCCACCCTTTTAAAAAAAAATTTGCCTGAAAGAAACACTGGTCGACAGACTTGATCTAATGAGCTATTAACTCACGGAATATCAAATCAAATGGAATAAGATATCTGCGAATACGATATGATGCATCATCAGATATAATATTTTCATTTCGATTAACATTCAATTGAGTGCAGATATGAAACATGATTTTATGCGATTGTTGTTTAATTTATTCAATGCATGCTTTCCTAACCAAAATAGACACATGCTATAGTGAGAAACCATTTCTAATAGATCAACACAGCAGCACATTTACACACCATACAAGACTGTCTCAAATTTCATTTTTGAATGATGACAGATTGGAACAAAATCTCTCATTAGTTTTTCTAACCTCACCCGACCTCCCCACTGACCTCCCCACTGACCGCCCAATGACCGCCCACTGTACTTCCTCAGACTCCAATCTTGTCTTTTGTGTGTTTTAATAAGACATTTTTCCCTGTCCCGTGCGACCGGACCAGATTTATAGAAAGACATGTAGGGCCGACGCTAAGCTCTTTACAGTTCCCCCTCCCCCTTCCCCCACACACACACTTTTTCCACCACTTCTCCCATCCCTTCTTCTCTTCGTCTACCCATCAACGCTGACCGGACAGTGGCCGTACGCTTTCATTGCTGATTGTTCTATGGACGCCAGGAGACAAGGGAGATCCAATGGCTACTCAAAAGCTAACGAGTTCACTGCTTTGAATAATTAGATCATTGACAGGTCAACGGTCAGTTGGCTCCAGGACAGGGCTGTCTGCGCCTGTTCTCATTCTTAGGGACTGTTTCCCCAGCTTATTATGAAAAAAAAAATCAAGGCTTAAAGAGAAAGATTTAGGCTAGGGACGGGGTGAAGAATTAAGGAAATGAATGGACGAAGAGATGTTAGAGCGGATTGAACAAGGGCTGAAGCAATGGATGAAGCAATAAATGGTGTAATGGATGGTGTAATTGATTTGCAATTGATGGTGCAATGGATTGTGTAGTGGATTGTGCAATGGATGGTGAACTTGATGGGGAAATGAATGAGCATTTATTGTGCAATGGATGGTGCCTTGAGTTTTCAAATAGATGGTAAGATGGATGGTGAAATGGATCTGAAATGGATTGTGCAATGGACTATGCAATGGACTGTGCTAGGAATGGTGCAATAGATGGAGCAAAGAGTGAAGCTTTTTATGGAGCAATGGATTGAACAATGGATGTTACAATGATGAAACACCCTGAAAATCGAGGCGATACAATTATCTTTCCTTGTTTTCTTCTGAGAAAATTTAAATAAATGTTTTCTTTACACGGAAATATAAAAAAAAAAAAAATTAACAGTAGACAAAGCATCTGACCAAAAGTAACCTATAAGGTAACCAAAAGCCACTTACACACAACAATTTAAACGGTAGACAAAGCATCTGACCAAAAGTAACCTATAAGGTAACCAAAAGCCACTTACACACAACAATTTAAACGGAGTGATCAACGTCTTGCGTAGTATGACGTCTCAGACTAATCAACAGACCCTTTCAAATGTTAGCATGCAGTCAACACCACGTGACTCACCTGTGTCAACATTTCC